AAAATGTTAACATGTTCGATTGAGTTTACCTGCCATACATTATACTTCCCTATTGAGACGAATATTAGATAAATTCAAGACACTCTGAAATTAGTACAATTTATGTCAAGCACTATTCTTGAATATTGATAGGATGCTTACCAGAACAACATCATTTTACAGCCAATATGCACTGATAGCAGAGTCGCAATATTTTTGTTGCAAGGTAGAAACTTTTCAAAAAAACTCATATCATGCGGTCAGTGCCAAAAATCTGTGACTGTCGCCGATTGCTAGATTTAGTTGCGTTAATTTGTTACCAACAAAAACTGCTTCAGGTTCGATCTTAAGAGTAGGTCTATCTATAGATTACATTTTCTAAAGACTGGTCATAGGATCAGGTTAGCTTGCTGTATTACCTCTTATAACAATTCTCCTATCGTTGAAAGATTTCAGTAACTTTTACTTACTTTTAGAACGTGCAGACAAACGCAGATACAGCTGTTATTGAACATGGAGCATGAAGAGGCTTCAGATTGCTAATTTCGAAAAAAATGCTTTTTGATTGGAGATTGGTAGTCATGGGTCAGTAGCGATTGGCTCCAAGAGTGCGCTTGTAGAGCATAGAACAAATCTGTGTATGAGTAAGCGTTCATCTAATTTCTCAAAACCTTAATTTGGCCGTTTTTTTAGTCTCCTAGGTGTTAAATTAAACTCTATTTTACTTCGATTTTTTTTAATTAAAAGGAAACAGTGGAGCAGCAGATTTTATAGGGCATACAAGAAAATATTAGAGTGAGTTTGTAACAGAAAGCCCTGCGAAAAATATATCCAGACTTCCCATTCCGACTTACTATGAACGTTTCACCTTCCAAAAAATACGAGAAACACTCAAACCCATGTCAACATTCTGGATTTGCGGAATAGTAGCTTTATCGCCTTGATCCATTTCTATGGCAGCCATTAAGTCTCCATTGAAATCTGCCCCACAACATTATCGGCAAATTTACATTCGCAAATCAAATGAATCAAATTCACAACTAGTTTCAAAGGGCCAAAAAATTCATTGGAAATTACCTTCTCAAATGTTCATTCAATTTTGCGTAACTATTTGATTTTATTGGTAAAGTGATTTCCACTGTTAGACCTCTACACAGGCTTGATGAATAGGCTTTATATGTACATTACGTCTGAAGGATAAAGACCCATTAATGATAAATAGCAGCAAATCAGCTAGAATATCAAATATATTTGAACAATAGTTCAATAGAGGATCCAGCAATTCGCCTAAATTCTTCCTACCGCCGCGCCCAACAGTCCTCCGACTACGGCACCTTTGATCGCTCCTCTCACTGGATCTGAAGTTAGGCCAGAGTTGGCAGTATAAATTTTGCGAAGACAAGAAACTTACTTGGATGTCGCATTGGGCCCATCATTGGTCCCATGGGTCTCATTGGCCCCATTGGACCCATTGGTCGCATGGGCCCCATCGGATGCATTGGACCCATTGGACCATGTGGGTGCATTGGTCTTGGTCCATACATACGGGGGCCAAATTGGGGCCTGGCATTGAGGTGGAGCGAAAGTGTCAGCACGATGAGAAGAAGGACTCGCAGCATTGTTATTGTTAGATGTTAGTCTGTGATTTAAAGATTGAGTGACAAGTTTAGCCAACGATTGAGGACATTCAGGGATATAGAGATACAAGCACTAGAACATAATTGAAGTAGAGTAAGCAATCACGAATAAAATATTATAGAAAAAAACCGCCGCCACCACCCATGCAATATGTGAGAATGACCAGTGTTCTTTCGAAAGAAACCAATGGATCGAAGATGGATTTTTCGGTAGATGCATGCTGATCTACACTTTACATGATCTAAATTATTGGTTGTTTCCTTTTATGCTTAATTTT